GGAAAGAGGCAAAAAGAAAATGGGGCGCCTAAAAGGCCGCTGCAACTGCAGACTGAGCCAGAAGGACGTGGCAGGCTAAAAGACACATGCTCCAGCAGTGAAGAAAAGCAACCAGCAGCAGCAGCAGCAACAAAGGCGGCATCGGGTGGAAGGAGCCTGTGCGCAGGACAACCGGAGGTAAAAGAAGCACTGTTGTGGCCTACGCCATACTACCTTCAGCCCGCCAGATCTCGTCTGATCTCGGAAGCTAAGCAGGGTTGGTCCTGGTTAGTACCTGTTATGGGAGACCGTCTCGGAATACCAGGTGTTGTAGGCATTTGACCACTTTTCGCACTCTCACGGCATCGTAGACGTTGGGGCCGTAAGGGGGGTCACTCAGAGCACAGCCAGTGGAGGCCTGCTCTTTTGCTGAAGAGGAAGAGGAGAGGGACAGAAAGATTGGGCTCCCGAACGGCAGCGTGGGCATGGGTCACTCTACACCCCAAAGCGCTGGAATGAAAAGCCCGTTGCTAGCTGTAGGCTTTTTAAAGAAAAAGAAAGAGAGAGAGAGAGAGAGAGAGAGAGAGAGAAAATAAAACGCCATACTGAAACGTAAAGCCAGAAAATAAATGTTTGTTTACAAAAAAAATAAAAAATAAAAAAATCCTCCGAATGAGTGAATGTGAAATTGCATAGCGTAGATCGCCCTCTGCTGGTAGTGTTGTAGAATTATAGAATTCTTGAAATTATCTAAGCTAATGCTTTGGCAGGAAGAAATGTGCTGAATAATAAAATGTGTATTTACTAAAAGAACCTTGAAGCTAACAATACTAACTACTCAAAATGGCTGCCAAAGCACCCCTCTCATCGAGTGAACACCTCGTGCTAACAAGATGGCACCTACATCTTGTGTCCACTCCCGTGTCAAGGATGACATCACCTCCGGATGGGAGGGCATCTAACTAACCACTTAACACCTGGACCAATCAATAGTGTCTATTTGCTGTTATCTTGAATTCTTCAGTGATGTAAAAATGCCTTTATAAGTGTCTGCGCACCCATTTTCTGTTAGAAGCCATTAAACTTCTCCGAAGTTCTTTAATTAACCTGAACTCTGTGTCTCAGTGTGAATTTACTTCTGCATGCACGCAACTTTATTATCTTTAATTTGGACAGGAACAGATAGTCATTCAAACTAATTGGTTTGTAGAAAATAATCTACTACAATTTGGCGCCTTCAACGTGGGGCTCTGGGTTATGTCCTGCCCGGGCAGCCGTCCAAGAAGACACGGGGGGGGTGAATCCTGGGGGAAGGAAAAGAGCCTGATCACCTCTGAGTACACGGTGGAGACTGCTGCAGCACCTAGCCGGTATGTTCCTACTCCTGTGATTGACCTGTCCCAGTGTCTGTGACTGCTGCCGAGAGGACATCAAAGTCAGGTAATAACTTGCCCAGAGTCTTTGTATTGTTAATGATACCTAGTTTACCTGCATGCTGACTATCTTTTGCCTGGGTGTGTTTGTATTGGTTTGTGTTTAGCTTAGTCCCCGGGGAGTGTGAGTGCCTGTTTACCCCTTTTAGGTGCTAGGTGGCTCTAGCGGTAAAGGAAAAAGGGGAGGGGACCTGGTGGAAGTCTGTGTGGACTCACTACTTTCTCAGGTCCGGGGTGTCACTTTGAGGGCCTGGCTAGCCTCATTGTGCACGTTACTCTGCTTGCACTTCAGCCTCGAGCGCTGACGCTGGTAGTGTTCTGTTAACCTCTCAGTGCCCGCGGATACGGACACTGTTAGGTTGTGGTGGGATTGGATTCGGGCAGGCATTGCTGTTTCCATCA